CCTCTCAGAGAGGAAAATTCTCTCACAAAAAATATAATAAAGTTCCACGTCATATTTTTTCACGGCATTATGAGAGTCTCAAGTGCGGCAAGGTGGCTATTGTGAAATGTTTTGATGAAACTTTGAGGTTAATTTTTTTGTATCGATTTGTTATGTTAGTGAGCAGCTTTTTGTGTCGGTTTTGAGTTGCAATTTTTCTTCATGTTTAATCAGTTTTGGTTCTGATGTGTGAATTGTACAATTTTTTTTTGTAAATTTATTGATTTTTTTGATTATTTATGATGTTGGGATGAGGTTTTTTTGGTGACAAGGTGATGAAATGGGTAGTTTGTAGAGAAGGAGCTAAGAACTTTTGGCGGAGGGAGTAGTTTTAAGATTAATTTCAAAAAATCATAGTAAAATGAATAAATTTCTGTTAGCGAAGGGGCCTTTCAAATCCTCTCTCCCCTGACTTCGCACCTGGTAGTTTGAGATTGATTAAAAGTTACCTAGGAGCTTGTCAACCTTGATTAAACCTTCGTTTACTAGGACTTACTCCTTACCATCGTCTAACATTTTAAGGGAGGGGAACCCAAATTTTCAGTTTTTGCTTATAATAAGCTGTCTAAATGGATACTTTTAGCTAAACAGAGTCGTTTTTTGAAAACATCTTAGGGGTCGCACTCTTATGACGTCCACCAAAAAAATAATTTTAAAACATCCTTCACCCTCTGTCAAACTGTTCTGTTTATTTGAGCTGTCACCAATTTCTAGAACCCCTTTCCACCTCCTTAATGTTGGACGTCATATGTAAACTGACCCCATTGCACTCTAAAACAACAATGTTGCAAACTAATGAACCAGAAATAATGTCATAAACACATGTAATGCTCATGTTGGAAGCTTTAGAAATTCAGCCTGATTCTTATTTTATGGAAATCTTACAATTCATTTTTCTAGGTTCTCGAAAATATTTTAAAAGTTTTAATTTAGATTTCAATTGATTCTGATCAACATTGAAAAAATTTAAGATTTTTTTAATTTATTGTTAAATTGGTAAACTTGAAAAAAAAAAATTGCAACAAAACTTCAATTTTATAAATTTTATAATTATGAATTTAAAGTGAAAAATCCAATAATCAATAACTAGACCTAATTAAAGAAATCAAAAAAAAAATAAAACCACGTGATTATTTTCATAATTTTATTTTATTTCATTTGTTTCGTCTAGACTGACAGAGTGGAATAAAAAAAGAACCTTAAAAGTGATAAAAATTTCCAGGCACAAAAGGGAGAACATTTTATCGATTTTTTCTTCTCACACGTCAAGTTTTTTCTGATTAAAAAATAGGGGAGAAGAAAAAAACATGAAAAAATGTGGTTGACATGTGTATTTTATTTATTCAAATGTCGATTATTTTTAAAGAATTACAATAATTGCATTTTTGTGAAGCTCAATTGTAGATTAATTCAATATAAAGCAAAAATATAAATTTGAATGGTATTTAAAAGTATTGTTTTTTTTTAAAAATATTATTGACAAGTTTTTTTTATATTTTTAACAATTTTCAAGTAAAACAAAATTTCATATTTTTTTTTGTATTTTGTAACTCAACATTAGCTTTTAAAAAGTCAAATTTGGATCAAAATTGAAATTTGTGCTTTAATTTGAATTGTTTTAGTTTTTACAAAATAATTTCAGAACTTTAACTTTAATAAATTGAAGGATAGTTTGAGAAATTATGGAAAGTTCTAAATAAATTTCAAATTAATTTCAAAACCTTTTTTTAAAAAATAAAAATTATTTAAATTTCAAATTTATTTCAAAAAAAATTTCAAAAAATATTTAAAAAATTAAAATTATTTAAATTTTAAAATTATTTAAAAAATTGACAATAATAAAATTTTTAATCTTTAAAAACTACTCACCAAGATTTTCTCAAATGAGAATCCAACAAAATTCTCACAAATACACACAAAAAAGTCCATTAAATTTGAGAGTCGATTCTCCTAAGAGCAAGAAAATTAAGAGAGAGAAAAAAAAAGATTTTCAATTCCGAATGAATGAAAAATCGATGAAAATGAGAAAATAAACTTTTTTTTCCTGCCTGATATTTTTGTACCACATTAATAATTTACTGAGTGACACACATTTACGACTGGAATGTCTGCGGCATTTTCATGTAATTTTGGAAATCGATAATTGTATAAATGCACAATTTTTACTTTTTGGGAAATTAATTTTTTAATGTTGGGATTTGATTTTGTTGGATTCAAAATTTCAAGTTTTTTTTCTTAAGAATTTTAAATAAGTTTCAAAATTATTTTAACTCACCACAAAAAAAAATTATTTTTCAGAAGCCGTTGTGACTTTCATTACAAGAATCAATCAAAAATCAACCTTGACTTGATGATAAATTATTGTGATTAATCTGTACGATCTCAAAATTTAAATATAAATTGAGAAGAAAATAAAGCAAATTTTTTGTAGGCGAAACATTCGATGAACGCAATAAAATATATAAATAATTATAATTTGTGCAAAAATATTCGTGAGTGTGAATTTTTAACAAAAAAGAGTGAAGTGAAATTTTTGTACTAACATTTTTTGAAATTTGAGACACAATAAAAAATTCATTTGGATATTAAAATAAAATAAAATCGATAAAAAAATATGATGAGCAACGTAACTGGCATGTGTGAGTATTTATGAACACCTTTATTGACATTAGAATTTTGAAACAAAACCTATAATTTGAGAATTAGGTTAAACACACAACAGTTTAGAAATATTGCACATGCTTTGCTTATTTTGATATTCAATAAGGTTCAATCAGCTATATTGGTGGTAAATTCATGATTTTTTGGGGCTACATGAGGGATCTTAAGATCAAAAATCGATCAGAGGTAGAAATGCAAATTGATCTGGTCAATGGCATGATTTATAGGGCAAGTATAGCCATCCACAAAGTGGAGCCTTAAATGCTGGAGTGATGTGGAGTGAGCTCAAATATAGGCACTTTTGTTAACCAGGAGAAGAACAGTCCTTTTGTGAACAATATTGAACCTCGTTTACAACTTTTAGCGCTGCTCATGGTGACATTTATCGTTTTGGAACCTCGTGGCAACAGAAGTGTAGGTGCGAGTTAGCGAGGGTGTTTACTAAATTAAAAATGTCGGCACCCTGCACCGCTACTGCTTGGAAACCTAAGAAAACGAGTCAAATGTCGACACCTTCAATAAATTGGTGAAGCTTAGTCGTCTCAACCCACCCAGATCCTCATCCTTTAAGCAACTTTCAATGTCACAACCCTCCCTCGCTACTCTACCTCATAGCCAGTTCAAAATGCTTTGTAGCGCTTTTAAAATATTTATTTATTTTTTTTTTGCAACTCAATTAAGCAAATTGCATAACTTTAAGGTGCAAATTTTCTACTTTTTGCCGCACATTCTCTTTTTTAAACACACTCAATTAACTTTTTATTCTCAACCAAAACTGCACGCTTTTAAAAAAAGTCAAACATATCAACCAGAAAAAATGAACATTTAGTAGCATGAAGAATCAATTGCAAAGTTTAATCCACAAAAAGCAACTCAATTACTTCGTTCAACTTTTTACGTACTTAAAATATCGATCAAAAAGATATTATTTCGTCTATATTAAATGCGATGACGTCTATGAAGTGCTGTTTGTGCTTTCGTTATACTTTATGATGTTCTTAGCTTCTTTTGTTGCATGCTTGAAGAAATGTTGGCAGATAATTGTATCTTGTGCGTCATTAAAGATGGTATTTAAGTTGTAGTTGTCATAGTTGAGGTTTGGTGGGTAAGATCAAGATAAAGTTCGGGTATCACTTCAATAATTATTTTAAAAAACCATTAAAATTAAATAAAATGATGTAAAAAAGCATGAAAAATTAAATTCATTCCAAAAGCAAATCAAATCAACCAGGAAATGTGGTTAAAATCTGTATCAAATTTGCTTAATGTGTGATGACTATTTTTTTTACATTTGTCGAAGATGTAAAACCTGTGTGCCGGTATGTTTACCTTCAATAAAGCCAATAAACCACGTGTCATCAAAATGTAAACAAGGTTGCATCAACAACCTCTAGACACATATTTGAACCGGTCTTTAAACTACTTAATGGTTTGTTTTTGAAGGAGAATTCGTAAATAACGTCTCGAAATCTAATTTAGGGGTTTTAATCGGTTTTTGTTAAAAGTGGAAAAGGTCCCGATTTTAACATTCATACATTGAGACAGACCAGCAGTGAGATAGTTAAAATATAATGAAATTTGAATGGAAGCTAATTTATACCTTCAATAAGGTTTAGCTAAGAGGAGGAGGTTTAACTGGGTCCAGATCAGATTTTCAGATTAGATCAGATCTAATTAAGTTTGCTAGGTTGTCAATTAAAGTCTGTTAAAGTAAAATTCAGTCAGCAAGAGTCTAATTAGATTCAACTAGTTCCATTGGGGCTGAATTAGGTCAGTTGGAGTCCAAATAGTTGAGTTTAGGACTGATTTTGTATGTTAAGATCCAATTTCATATCTTTACGTCTGCTGGTTTTTGAATTTAGGTCAAATGTACTTTCCAGAGATCAATTTTGACAAATTGTATTAAAATTGTATAAAAATCTTTATAATTTCTTTCTACGGCGATTTCCTTCCTCCTTTTAAGATTATGAAGAACTTCTTTGTTTTTATAAATTTCAAGAAACCCAAAAAAAGTCAAATTATGTCTAAAAAAACACAAATTTGTGGTAATTAAAAAGTCAGGTCATGCATGAAAATTTAAAGGTCAGAAGTTAAATTTTCATAGATTTAAATCTCTATTTAAGTCATTAAGTCTGCCTATTAGCTGATGTCGAATGGTCCAATGACTTATAAATTTAAATCACATATGTGATGGTTGACTGATAAGGTAAACTCGTTTTATTCGGTCAATTTTGTTTTGCTGATTTGTTTACCGTGGATTTGTTGTGAGATTTCAGAGAGTCAGTTTGTGTGCTGATTTTGTGAGATTCGGGTCGGTTGCGTTCTAAGATAATTTGTGGATTTTTTTTTGGACATAATTTAAAGAATTTAATTTACAAAGTGATCAATTAATGACGAAAGTAATTTAATTTTTTGAACTTTCAAACTGAATTTAATATAAAAAAAAATTTAAAAAATCTTATGATTTTTTTTATATTCATTTAATTCCAGTGGATGACATGGACAACTATCTTCAATATGTAGGAGGCCCAACAGGTGCAATTGCATTGACTGGAGTAGCTGCAGCTTCAGCTTATTATTTAGCAACACGTCCAGCATCAGAAAGTCCACTTTTTCCATTGGATGAGCAGACGATACTTGAGAAGGAGGTGAGTTGGTTATTTAAGCTTAAGATTTAATTGGATTTGGGGTTGAATGTTCACTAAGATGACGAGATTGATCAAAATTCAGAATAATTGTTAAGATTTGCATATGTTTTTGACATGCTGATATTTTGCCGGGTCATAGTGCTTTTAGGAAGGGAATCATTGTTCACTTTATTATAAGAACTCAAGCTTATAAAGATCCACTACTTTAGCTTGTTTTTAGAGCTACTTGAAGGCCCCTTTCTTTGCTATCTGTTTTAGGTGTCCTTAAAAAACAAAAAATAACTTCCATTTTCTTAAAGAATCTTTTTGATTGCTATCAAAAAAAAAAACAAAAAACAAAACAAATCTGCTTTTTAAAGAGATTAATTTCTCGCTTACGGAGGCTTGTTCTCTCTTTTTGATTTTTTCTCGCATTTCTTGTTCCGTTCGTCAACCAAAAACAGGTGCTGTAGATTCAGAGTAATTAATCAAACGACATTTTAGAGGGCATTTGGTTCCATTATGATATGCTAAATGGTGATGAGTTGATGATAATGAGGAAGGTTGTTATCGTAATATTGGAAGGGAATTAAAATTGGTGCTGAGCTGGTTAAGGGAATTTTTGATCTGATTTGTGTGCTTTGAGGTGGAAGCTTTTTCTAGAAGACGAGCTTACTTGTTCAAGTTTCGCTAAAAATTGATAACTTGCTCACAGAGAACTTCGAAACTAAAGGATCTTGAGCAATAGTGTAAGGACCTTTTCGGTCTTTGGTGTGATCACTAAGGTGAGCCGTGGTACAAAAAAGGTTGACAACCACTGGTCTTAAAGAATCGAACATTTCCTTATCTTAGCAAAAATGATGAGAGACACTTAAGATATGTTTGAGACCTTCAGTGTTACAGCACCTCCCCCCCTCTCCCCCCTCAAACCTCAGCCCCACCCCCACGAACAAAGTTCAGAGTTGAGACTTTGCAATTGTTTAAAATTCAAATTCAACAATTTTTCAACATTTTACATCAGACATAAGAAAATTCACTCCAGCACTCATCCATAAATTATTTACTGTACATCAACGTCACTCATGTGAATAATAAGACTTTATTTTCTCTCAAAATGTTTAATATTTTTCATTAACTCGACTTGTCTCGAATGTCTTTTTAGAGAATGAAAAATTTCTTTTAAATTGATTTCACCCACGCATGCAGAAAATTGCTTTGGATATTCTTGTAGGCTGCATATTCCGCATATTTTTGAGGTTATTTTTTTAAGCAAGAAAATGTCATCAACTGTCGACCTTCAAAATCATCCACAACCCCCCTTGATCCTTGCCTAATCCCATCTTGGTTGACATTTCCCTCATCCACCAATGAAAAATGAACCGCTTCAATGTTGTTAAGCAACGCAAATATTTTTCCAGAAGAATTAAATTACAGATTGGAAAAATTGAATAAAAATCTGACATTAAACGCCCACGCAACACTGTCTGTACTTCACATGATAACTTGATATACAACATTTTACGAGAAATAAGTTAATTAATTGTGAAAAGTTTATTGCAGGAACTTCCTACACGATTGACAAGCTTTTGACTCATTTGAGTGAAGTTATTGAATGGAATTTTATTCAATCGGTAGATAATAAGTTGACATAGTGATGTCAGGTAGCGTAGGATGAAGTTCTGTGATGGAAATGTTACATTGTAATGGAAAATAATGTGGAAAATTATAATTGGAATAGTTTTTCAGGAGTATTGTTCAAAGTCATCCTTGTATACCTTTTTTCAAATTTTGTGTTCTCTTTTCAAGTCTTGCGTCCCCCTTCAAATCTTGAATTCCCATTTTAGATCTTATGTACCCCTTTTCAAGTCTTGTATACCCCTTTTCAAGTTTTGTGTACCCCTTTCAAGTCTTCAGTCTCCCTTTAAATCTTAAACACCCCTTTTAAGTCTTGTGTACCCCTATTTAAGTCTTGTGTACCCCTATTTAAGTCTTGTGTACCCCTTTCAAGTCTTGAGTCCACCTTCAAGTCTTGTGTTCCTTTTTCAAGTCTTTTGTACCACTTTTTAGTCTTGTGTACCCCTTTAAAGTCTTTTGTCATCTTATAATGCTATATTAAGGTCTAAATAGGTCCTATATTGCCCATTTTTCCTTAGTCTACAAACCTATAACCCTATTGAACCCCTTTTAAGCATTCAAAACATTCAGACTTAAATAAATAAATCCTGTCATCAATCTAAATCAATCAAAAGTCCTCTGACATATATGCATCATTCACAAATTGAAATATTACATCACTCATCGCTTACTTCTCCTTTCAACCATGAAATATTTATATAAACAATATTTTTTTTTCATTTAATGATTTTCAAAGTTTCAACAAATGTTGCGGAAGTGGAAATGTTTATTTGCTGAGTTTTCAATTAATGCACGTTATTTTTTTTGTTTGAGATTGTTGGAAAGTCAATGAAAATTCCACCCGCAAGGCGTTTAAAATATCGTTAAAATTTTTCTATGAAATGCAACATAATTTATCATTTTTTTAATAACATTTTCAACTTGGCATCGAGATGAGAGAAAATGCTAAAGTACTTGAGATTATTATGAGTGGATTTATCTGGATGTTTGGAAGAAAATTGGTGTGCTGAGTCATTTTGGATGGCTGGAGAGGTAATCTTAGATGTAGGAGTTAATAAAAAGTTCAAAAAACATAAATTTGGAAAGAAAATGCGCGTTAGACACACTTTGATTTGGATTTTCTTACTTGATAATTTTACTCTTATGAGTATGAGAAACAGGAGCCTCAATGGTGCATTAACCCAAGGGAAATGCTTATTATGAGTATTTGAAATATTGCCAGTTTAAAAATTAATTTATTTTAGTTGAGATCTTAGCAGTAGCTTGTTCTTATGTGATTCTGGGGGTTGTCAGGGGGAGTGCAGGGGTCTAAATATGACAAAAATATTTTAGCACTTTCTTAAAATTGGATGAGTGAAATAAAACGCAGGCTCGCTTCTCTCGAGAGGTTGGACCTCCGTTTTTATCACCAATTTTTCTTAAGGGGTATACAGCATGTTGGGAAAGAGTTTTGAAGAGAAATATCAAGTTATTTAACAGATCATCCAAAGTTATGTTGGATATTATTATTAAATCCTTTGAAGTTGCTTATTAATTTCGGAAATTGATGAGAATTTTCCATTTAAAACCATTTCCCACCACGTTGTTATCCCCTTAAAGTTCTCTTCCATTTCAATAAAAATTCAATTTTAAAATTAAAAGTAATTTGTTTATTTACTTAAGGCTTCATTATTGTGACCATAATTATTTGTTTATGATTCTGACACGAATCGATTATTGTGACATTGATTGACTGACTTGCGAAAATGGAAATGAAAACTTTTTCATCAATTTGAAGTCCTTCGTCAATCATTTTTCCACAATTTATTGATTTTGAGTTAAAGCTTTCATCAAAATTGCTTCATTTTACTAATTTATGAAATATTTTAAACACCACAGGCAATTTTCTCAACAAAAAAACAAACACGCCTTCTCAATTTCCTCATCCGAATGCAAATTTCTCCTTCATAGTCTGCACAGGCTGTTTAAAAATTCACTTTGCGCACATTAAGAAGAATGATACTAACGCAGAAATAATAAACAAAAGAATGAACATTTTGTTACTGTTTCTATTTTTGAAACTTATCGCGAATTGAACAATTTTTTACTTTTCTTTCTTTTTGAAAACGATATTTTATTCGTTTTATTATTTTTTTCAGTGAAAATAAACGATTTTGAGAGAGAAGATGAAAATATGTCGTGGGAAAGTCTCGAATAATTTTTAATGGGTATCCTAACCTCATTTAAATAGATTCTTTTAGGGATTTGCAGGTTAGGATCACCTTTTGATGTTAGAATCAATCTCTTGGGCTACGTACTGCGAGAACAGGGTGAATCTTTGATGTTGATATCGACCTTTGAGGTTAGAACTGATCTTTTAACATGAACTCGATCTAAGAGTTAAGGCACTTTGAGGCTTGAATCGATATTCAAAGTTAGTATCGATCGTTTAGGATAGACTCGATCTTTGAGGTTAAAGTCTATCTTTGGGGTAGAAATCAAATTTTGAGGTTAGAATCGATTTATGAAGTAGGAGTCGATCTTTGAGGTTATAATACATCTTCAAGGTTTAGTATTGATCTTTTAGGTTTAGGATCTCTGAGGTTAGCAACTTTGAAGTAAGTAACTTCTTTTAAAGTTGAGGTTGTGATCGATCTTTAAGATTAGAATTGTCTATTGGTCTAGAGTCGAGTTTTGACGTTAGGTAATTTGAGGTTAAATTTGAAATTTGAAGTTAATGTCGATTTTTTAGGTTAGAGTCGTTCTTTGAGGTTAGGATCAATCTATCAGGTTAGGATCTTTCTTTGAGGTCAATTTCAACCTTTAAAGTTAAAATCTTTAACAGTAAAATAAAAAAAAATATATTTTGAGGTTAGGTTTACTCTAGTTACAAACATTCAAAGTAGCAATGTCCCCATTATCCCATATTTTTTTCACCAAACTTCCCAGAGAATTCAGAGAATCTTCTCGCAAAACAGCCACAACATTCTCAAAATAAAAGCCACGAATTGTTACACAAACTAGCTTTAATTTGCACAGCAAAAAAAGAAAATTGAGAAGAAAAAAAGATCCTCGCGATGAAAATTCTTTAGATTTGCTGAGAAGAAAATTAAAATTGAAAGGGAAAAATCTCATTTGAGTTGAGTGCCAATCGACGGTCGTAAAGATGATTAGTCAAATTCGTATCGCTCGTGAGTGAAAATCGGATGAAAATAAAAAGTTTTTGCGGGTGATTTTGAGATAAAATTTTAAGAAAAAGAAGAAAAAGTTTAAAAGTTTGTGAAATTATAAAATTTTTGAAATTGACAATTTCAATAAAAATTGAGAAATTAAATGGATTAAAATTGTCATAATTATTGTAGAAAAAAAATGTAATAAAAAGTAGAAAAAAATTGTCACTGTGCTTA